ACTCAAACATTTACCTGTTATACCCTCAAACATTACATACACTCTCATCAGTTCTCCAGACTGAGATTATTAGATTATTTATGTATTAAATCGTTGCCAGTTATTTTTTTCTAAGTTGATGTATTCCCTGCATTCACTCATTCATTCATTTTGTGGTTTCAATGGACCTTTTTCACATTTCCGGGTTTCTCAGCAGCAGAAGGTGTCATAGTTGGGTAAACTTCTATAGCAGTGAATGGAAGATACCACAAATATATTTTTTGGACTCTCATTTGCTCAAATAGCAAAAGAAAAACTCCATGGTAGTGTTTTCATGACTTTCAAAAAAGGGAAAAAATAGAGAGAGGCTGATAATAACAGTCAGTAAAGTGAACGATGTCAAATTTTACCATCACTTGCTGTATTGGAAACACCCTCGCATTAGCGTTAACTCGTTTTTTGTAATCTGATGCAATGGTAATATAATACAAGGTATAGTGTTATAAATGTACATACATTTAAAAAAAAAATTAAATACAAAAAACTTTGGAGGATTTACGATGCTGATGACCGTTGGAACGCGTCATCACAGTCTTGTGAAAAAGGTCCATTTGAAACACACCAACATAAGAAAATATTGAATAACAATAATTATTATTATGCAAACATAAAATGTAAACACAATAATATTTAATATTAATTAAATCATATATAAAATTATAATTATGTAATACATACATTCAAACATTACATACACATATCTACAGGTAGAGTATGTATAAAGCAGTTGTGGCTGTTGGCTGTGAAATCCAATTTATTGTAAGATCTTCGGAAAGCACAGAATGGTAAAAGATACAGTGGAGGAAATTTGTATTTTTACAGGGAAGAAAAAGAACTGGTCTTAAGTACATTTTCTAAGCCAGTCTTGTAGAGCAATCACACCTATTAAACTGAAAGAGATGGGGCTGAGTGCACGCACACACACACACACACACACACACGGTAGACCGTAAGTGTTCTGAAATGAGAAGTTTTCACGATGATATGGTTTAAATGAGATTATCTTCCCCACACAGCCGTTGCGCAAACCCGGACTGAGGGAGAGCAGCTATTTATGACAGCGAAGGCTTGATCAGGGGGGTTCTGGATTTCCATCCATGCTGATGGAGCCAAAGCAGATTCTTTTACATTCATAAGATTCATAAGCGTTATACTTCCAAAGACCTCATCTGCATTATCAGCAGGTGCTATAAAACGAAGGAAGACAATGTTGTCATCAGTATGTTTGAATTATTCATGTGCAATTAAGCAGCGGCAAATATCATATCACAATGAGTTATTGCTCATTAAAGTGTGAGATAAAAATGCTCAAAATAAATAAATAAATAACCTCTTTGAGTTGTTTATCTTCTGACGTATAAGGCTGTTTGTCACTCTAAAGATGTAGTTAAGCTTTTACATTAAGGTATGAAGACGCTTTAGGTCGACCGCTGACTCAAATGCACTGTGATTTGTGACTTTAAGAGAGACATTACATGTATGACGTCATCCATAGAGAGTAAAACACTACACTGCTACACTGTTGATCCTTTGTTACACAGTATTCCCTGTTACTGTATATACAGTATTTACAATTACAGTTTTTTTCCCCATGGGCCTGTTCATTCATACATATTTCAATTAAATTAATTTGGCCTGTTTAGAGGGAAAGTAGAGTTCAGAATGTTTACTGATACTGCGCTACAATAATTAGGGCAATTTTCAATCCCATCCTACATGGATTCTGCTGGTCCTGCGAGTTTTTAAAAATGATAGCTCACCCAAAAACGAAAATGATCCCATGCTTTCAAGCCCTAGGTGTATATGACTTTCTTCTTTCAGACAAATACAACCGGAGCCATATTAAAAAATGTCCTGGCTCTTCCAAGTTTTATAATGGCAGTGAATGGGGGTCGAGATTTTCAAACCCAAAAACGTGGGGGGTTCTGAAGTGAAGCAATGCACTTATGTAAGAAAAAGATCCATATTTAAATGGATCTTTATACACCATAATTGTAATGTGTCTGCTGTTTTCTATTTGCTGTTTCATTCTATTTTTGGTTCTCTCCATTGTGACTTAGTTTTCCTGAGTTGTCCTAATTATGACATTCTGTTCACCTGAGTTTTAATTAATTAAGTCATTAGTCCATCGCTTGCCTTTGTATTTATACTCCCTGTTCTGTTCAGTTGGTGCCAGTTATTGTTTGTGTCTACGTTTTTTTGCTACATAGTGATTCCCCTGTGTTCCTTGTGGATTTATTAATAAAAGACTATTGTGGATTATTTCTTCATTGTTGTGCACTCATTTATAAGCACCAAGCGTGATGGTAATCTCTAGCTTCTGCGAACAGTCGTAGAGCATTCACGAGAGAATAGCATTCCAACAGATGACGTAGGACATCTGGTGTGACTGTGCTAGTCTCACGAGAACCAAGTTTTGTCCACAGCAAAGGAAAACCATGTCTCCTCTTGGCTTTCATCAAAATCTTCAGACCTTTTTCTTCACAAATCCTTGTTTTGTACTTCTAATTCGTGACCCGTGTTTTGTTTTGCTCTCTCTTCTCTGCCATAGTGAACGGGAGTATGACAGCTAGCATAAGCTAGAAATGACTGTTTATATAGTTTTAAATATGGATCCTTTTCTTACACAAACACATTGCTTGCTTTAGAAGGCCTTTATTAACCCCCCGGAGATGTGTGGAGCACTTTTTTATGATGGATGGATGCACTTTTTTGGGCTTGAAAATCACGACCCCCATTCACTGCCATTATAAAGCTTGGAAGAGCCAGGACATATAATAATATAACTCCAATTGTATTCGTCTGGAAGAAGAAAGTCACACCTGGGATTCTTTGAGGGTGAGTAAATCATGAGGTATAAACTATACCCTTTAAGAATTAGAGGTACCTAACCCATCATTTTTGCTGCAAGAACTATTAGAAATTTTTGATAACCTATTATCTAACATACAACCAAAATAGAAAAATTATTATTAAATTGAAAATTACCTAGTTTTAAATGTCATTTTAAAATTGTGATTTTGGCTCACATCATTTTAGTAATATATAAAACTGATATTCACATCATTGGGGTAAAGAGACTTTGTAAGAAAAAAAGTATTTATTTTGCTGTTTATTTAATGTTAAACATTTTTTAAAGGCATGGTTCAGAATTTAAGTGACAGAATTTAAATTTTTGGCTAAACTATTCCTTTAATACTGCTTTTAGCAATATTACATTTAATATAATATATTTAATAATATTTCTTAATAAACGTAATTTTTTTTAAATTAGTTTTGTATTGCTTATTTTATTTAAAAGTAAACTCACACAAACTAGTGTTTAGTAACAGGACTGCACAAACCACAAATGTCATTTAAGATGAATATAAAATAGCTCATATAAAATTTTGTTTGACTTCCTGAGGTTGACAATCATCATCTTCTGAAGGTTAAGTACCTCCTGAAAAAATGACTTTCACATTTTCCAAGCATTTCAGGCCCTGTGTTTGTACCCTATTCATGGAAAGTGCCTATTAGTCTAACATCTGACTGCTAATTCCAGACATGAGAATGTTCATATTTCGTGTTGAATGCTGGATTTGTGTTGCTACAATCCAAAGGTCAAGCAGCAGCTGTGACATGCTGCCCGCTTCCTTTTCATCAAAGAATCCTTCTGGAGGGAAGTCAGTCAATAGCAGGCAATAGGAGTCGACCTTGTGCAGTCGGCCCAGCATGTGTGATATATGCTAATGTATGTACATTTAAAGTACAGGAAGCTGACATTAATTAACGCATAATGATGTGCTGTACTGTGTATCTCTGAGAGATATGTTGACGACCCACTGTAAAATAATTGAAAGTCTAGGCTTAATAACCGCAGTGTGAAGGTGGAGCCATTGATCAAGCACTCGAAAGTAATGGGAGTGTAAGAGAAGCTCCCTGAGGACAAAAATACAGAGCATAAAGACATCTGTCCACATATAATGAGGACATACAGTCTGTCTATCTATCTATCTATTATAAACATAACTAAAAACCTACTCTTCTATCTATCTAATATAAACATAACTACCAACTTACTCTTCTATCTATCTATCCATACATAACCTACTTTTTTATCTATCTAATATAAACATAACTTCCAACCTACTCTTCTATTTATCTATCTATCTAATATAAACATAACTACCAACTTACTCTTCTATCTATCCATACATAACCTACTTTTTTTATCTATCTATCTATCTAATATAAACATAACTACCAACCTACTCTTCTCTCCTCACCTTTCCATCTACTCATTCGCATTAATTCCTTTCCTCCTTGCTTTGCTCTTTCTTTCTTTGTCAGTTGTTTTTCATTGTCTATCTACCTATCTATCTATCCTAAATCATCCTACTCATCTATCCATCCATCCATTTATCTACAGTATCTGTCTGTCTGCACTTTATACTTTGTACAAATTACACTGCACAAAATAATAATTTATTTACAGCAGCCATTATTATCTTGCTGTTTTGCAAGACAGAAGTGGATATCAGCTAAACATAACGGCAAGAGATCTGTCAATCAAATATGGAGATGACTAAGATGTTTGTATGATATGGCAGAGATGTGGCATTTATGTAAGCATGTTTTCATGCTGCTAAAAGCCATTTAGTGACCTAATTGAAGGGCAGATGCACATAATCTCCATTTCAGATGAGAAAAAAATCATAAATGTGAAAAGAGGGGTTGTCAGTGGGGGTCTGGCAAAATGAACCCCCCCCCCCCCCCCCCCCCCCCCACGCAGAGATGTGGCATTTATGTAAGCATGTTTTCATGCTGCTAAAAGCCATTTAGTGACCTCATTGAAGGGCCGATGCACAAAATCTCCATTTCAGATGAGAGAAAATCATAAATGTGAAAAGAGGGATTGTCAGTGGGGGTCTGGCAAAATATAACCACACACACACACAGACACAGACACACACACACACCTGAGGGCAGGTGATCATCTTCCTCTTCATGAAGCACCACATCCACAAGAGATCAGGTTGTCATGGTAACTGACCTACAAGCTGATTAAGGGAGCTCTGATAGAGAAAGTGTGAGTGTACGGTGGTGAAAATGAGACATTATGCTCAGACAAAGAATGACATCAAACACATCTTCTTTTTTAAATGGCTGAAAATTGCAGCTGAATTTCAATCACAGATCATCAGTTGACATCTTGAATGGCTAACCAGCAAACCTGATGAGATATTTAAAGGAAGGAAAATCATATTCAGCATGCAACTCAAGGTTATTGTCACTTCAGCAGGAGTGCCTGACAATTTTTTTATTAATGTTTTTGCCTGTGCCTCTCAGCTGAACAGGTGATGTAACAATTGTTATTATTAGTTCATGTCTAGCTTACATCAATAAATTCGATTCGTTTTACAAAACATTATGCATATGGCCCAATGTATTTTGTCTTTACAGCCTGAAAAAAAAAAATTTAAACAAAAAAATTGAAATGAAATAATTAGATCTTAATAGTGTAAAAAGCATTAAAAGCAGATAATTTGAACCGAAAAATTTATAACTCTCTCTCAAAAAAAAAACAACTCAAAATATATATATACAAAAATCCCTCACAGATCACAGATTACACACACATTATGTAATCTTTCCGAATTTATCACTGGACTTTTCTCTTATTAACAATATAGAAATGTCCTCAGTCAGTCCTTTGTTCAAATCACTCGTTGCTATGAAGCGCCATCTGCTGTTAGTACAAGGACTATACTCTTTCAGAGGAGTTTGTTTTTAAACTGATATGCAGTACATTAAAAGTCAAATAGATCGTTTATGAGTTCATATTATATTTGTATTGAAATAAGACTGGAAGGAGAGACAGAGATATAAAAAAATGAGAGAGAGGGAGTTTGTCTGTCACTCCTCACTATAGCCACATCCTACTCTTGATATGTCCATTCATACCTGACAGGTGGCAATTTATGTGTCAAGTTAAGCTCTATGAGCTACGCTTACTGTATTCAGACGTCAACTTCCAGCCTCCGTGTTGAGTAACATGATTACATGGTAGTGAAGGAGAGGGGGTGACCTCATTAACCTCGTTTTGGGCTTGACTCCTTGATGACTGGTGCAAAGAAAGAAAGAGAGAGATCATCTGAAGCCAGATATCATGCAACTCTTTACAGAATTTCTGCAGGTTTTATGAAGCTAAATTTTTTATTTTATAAATAAATAAAATAAAATAAAAATCAAGGAATGAATACTAGAATGAAATAACTTTTACTGTATCGTCTGATCACACAGCAAAAGTGATATTCTTCCTCAGTATTTTTGTCTTGTTTTCCAGTGCATATGCCTAAAGATTCTTAAAGCAAGACACTGAGGAAGAATTCATATTTTGCAATGCATGAAACATTTAATGCCATGACTTTATCTGATTTGATTTTAAGGCCTTAAATTGTGGGAGGTCGAATAAAAACTTTTAAAACATCCGTTTAAGGCCAGAAAAACCCTGTGTTTAGGGGAAACATAATTTCAGTTTAGTAGAGATTACTGTTTAATTCAGTACAGTATATCACAGAGAAATATTTACCTTAAAACAACTGTTGGTATTTCTAGTGCCAGAAAATATCAGAGGATGCACTCATAATCTGAAGAACCTTCTTTCACCACAAAGGACCTTTTGTGAAACAGAAAGGTTCTTCAGATGTTAAAGGTTCTTTCTGGAACCATTTAGACAAAAAGGTTCTTCTATGGCATCATGAAGCACCTTTATTTTTAAGAGTGTAGATTCCCCTCAGTTTATATTGAATAAGCAGCCTCTGCAAAACAAGACACACTCCCAGCTCAGTCACATTATCATCATTCAAATGTACAAGGTAATTACGTCCATTCCTCCTCAAATTAAGCTTCGTTATCCTAAAGCATCATTTTACATGCTCAGTTACACAGAATGACCCATAGGAGGCTGTTATGGGTTTTTCAATTACATGATTATATCCTTGTCTGGACACAGTGTCTGTGTAAAGTACAGTCTGGGTTAGATGGTGATTAGACTGTTCACTGTTTACTAACGTTTGTGTGTAGATGTGAATGTTTCAATGTCATTAATAATGGCATATGATTGCATCAAATTTTGGAATTAAAATTAAGAATTTAGCTTGACATGTCACCTTTTTGCAAAATCAGATATGAAGACTTCTACATGAATTAAAATGTTTAATACACAGCGTGATCCAAAAGTTAAAAAAAAAAAAAAACACTACTGAAAATGTTTAAATAAAAAATACTTCTTTTTTTTAATCTAAGTGTTTAAATTACATGTTATATTATCTGTCCGAACAGAAGAATTAACCCAAATTTCTAGATTGTGGTGGTTTTTTCTTCCTTTTAAAATTCTACTTTCTGGGTTAAAATTTGATTTCCAATCTCACATATTCAATATAGTCTCCGACTTTTGGACCCCACTGTCCTACTGTGTTACTTTTTTTTACAAGTTGAAAAAAGTTCAGGCAGTTTAAAAAAAAACAATTTTCACCTTTATACCACAAATGCTGTAAATGACACTTAAATTGTGTTGATTTTTAACCACTGTAAAATAACTACATTAATTTAATTTAGGCTTATTTAGTACTTACAAAAGCAGCGACTGTCACAAAGACCTACACTTAGCAACAACAAAATGACTGTTGCAAGACAACCTGAAATAGAGTGGGAAAGACTATAGCCCATAAGGGCAAAATAGTAGAAAGTTTTGAAGGGTTAACATCAGGGCCTAGCATTTTTGGGGGCCCTAAGCAGACTTTCAAAAGAGGGCCCCCATCCCCTATACATCCAACACTGCCACCTTATTGTAAAGCAATGTTATTTTCAATATGTCTATATAGTTATTCATTTTTATTTCAGTTTTTATGTTTTTAGAACATCAACATAAACTAAATGAAAATGAGAAATGTTGCCTTGTCAAGTAGCTAAAATAAAATAAGTTCATTTTTTTTAAATTTTATTTCAGTTAACATTTATTTTAATTTAAATTTTTTGTTTTAATTTACTATATTAACCCTGTTGTAAAAATGTACCAAATTGTCAGTATCTTTTAATGCACAAATATGAAGATATATATACAAATATATTAAACACTTATTACTTATAATAAACACTTTTAACCATTTTTAACTATTTAAAGTTTAACCATTGCTTTCAGAAAAATATATGAAAATTTAGTGAGACTAATGCTTTAATACAGCAAGACCTGGGTTATGAAAATTAAAATGTAAAAAAAAGTTTGAATAAAAATATGGCATATTTAAGTATTTGGTGTTATTTTAAAAAATATATATTTTTTAATGCTTTATTGTCAACAAATATCATGTATAATAATAGCACATCCCACTGTATAATATGAAAACATTTCACATGCAGCAAAAATGAACAAGGAGAAAAAAAGGAGAGAGGATACATAAACATCAGAACATTATACAGAAAAATATATACTTTACATATTTTACATTTCCATAGGATATTAAATGCAATTTTAATACAGAAAATGTACTTTGCAAGTAAGCACCATTAAACAGTTTGTTGTGTGAAAATGTTAAAGGAGGAGCATAGCAACTTTTTAAATTGCTTTACTGTTAGACTTTGACATCACATCTATATACACTTACATTTACATTTTTTTCAAGCACTGTAAAAAGAGGTTTGCCCTTTATAAACTTGCATTTATGCATGTGAAATTTACAGAAAAATAAAATAACATTTATATTAAAACCAACACCTTTAAAGAATGATCCTTGATATAATAACCCTCAGATTTCCTTAACCTTATTTGTTAGGAGGGACTTTTGCGGTAATAACCAAACTAGAGTCAATTTTACATTATTAAAGAGATTGCTCCAGTAGAAAATAACAGAGTATTTGGTGTTATTTGATAAATACCAGAGCCGCTGAGAAACAGAGTTGCGACACTCCCATAGGCTTCCATAAGAACTGAGGAATGCAGAAGTAAAGCATGTCATGGAGCAGCCAATAGTTTCAAACAACCAAAAGTTTCAGCACTGAAGCCCATTCATTTCAGTGCTTTTTTTTTTTTTTTTTTTTACATTTTAACACATTACATTAAAGGGGTGGTTGACTGTTTTTTTTTTCTAGGCTTGATTGTATTTTTGGGGTGCAGTCTAACATGCGTTAATGCTTCGTTGTTGACCTCTCAGAAATTTGGCCAGTAGTGGTATTTTATGAAACATGTTATATTTAATGTTTATCGTTAGATAATAGACATATACACAAAAAATTAACAAAAAGGAATAGAAAGTTGAGCTGGCGCAGTGCTGCTCTGTGTGCAGGGGTAACCATGGTAATGGCTGTATTTCTGCTGTTACTAAAGCGCCACTTCCTGTCAGAGAAGAAAATTGCATTTTTATTTAGCCCGTCTGCTGCTTTTGTTCAGCTCAAAGAGAAAATCTGACCGAACTTTTACGTGGCAAAACTTAACTGGTCGATGTAAAATAAGCTAATGTGCGCACTAAAAACTAAACTATTCGGATAATAAGATGTCTAGAATTATACGCATATATTTAGTAAGGGCCAACAATACCAATACCGTTTATGTTCCTGTCTGAACCCTGACATGGGGCCCTATGTAACAGCTTGTATCGCTTATTGGCACTGCTTGTTCACATTTGAAGCAGGCAGACAGGCACCATTGGGTCAAGTGGCATGGACATGAGTGGGAGTGTTTAGATTGGCTGGACTTTGATTTGCTAATGTGGACATGGTCCTCAGAGGCAGGTTCTCTGTAGGCTAGGGAGGAAAGGGTAGGCCTATATACTATGATTCAAAAGTTAAAGCAGTGGGACTCGACCAGTTCAGCAAAACAATCCAGCTGATGTTTCGACAGTGGAAAAAAGAAACAGATAACAATCACTGGGATGAGGGCACCTTGAGACATTATCAACCAACCAGAACATTAACAACAAAACCTGAATTCAGGTGAGTTAAAGGGCTGCTTGCACCAACATACAGTACACCAAAGAGCCTCTCAGTGTCCATTCACTTTCCTTATAAGGAAAAAGACGCAAAGGAAAGGTGATTGACACGTTCTGTCATTGTGCTTAACAGCTTATTTTGTTTTCCAAAAAAACCGTAAGCAATACGGGGTTGGAACAACATGAGGGTAAGTAAAGGATTTTTTTCGTTGAACTGAGTTTATCGCTAAATTGGGCTTTTATTTTGAAAGCAAGAGACAGCCTTATTGAGGACTTTTATTTTGCTTTCCAGCAGAGCCACGGGTTCCTTTAGTAGGTCAGACCAGATGGCTCCCGGAACAATAATGTCAAGCTGAAACTAAACTCCTTTAGCCGATGAGCTGTTTTGATTATTATCTCTTTGAGTAATTTTGTTTTGCTCGTTCAAACACCACCATAGCCTTTAGAATGGAGATCGATGATTTATCATGAAACTCCGCGCGCAGTATGACAGGTATTTATTTATGAATACTTTTACTCTAAGAGCATTTTCAGGGCTTTCATAATAAAAAAACATCAAGAATCTTAGATATAACCGTTAGAGATTATATATCATCCATCATTTAATGCAGTTATGGCTATCGAATATGTTCTGACTAACCCCGAAGTTTAGGTCAGTTCATATGTGTTACATTATTATGCACTTGAGTAATCATGTAAACATGTGTAACTAAGAATGATCACACTACCAAGACTGCTGTGGTTTCGAACGGGAGCGCCGCAAGGATTTCCATTTTGGGTGGGCCATAAAAAGTTGGGGGTGGCCATAATTTTACAGTGGAGTAGGAGTGATAATATTACATACAGTACGATTATTTTTACGTTAGCGCAAGAATAAGGTAATGACGCTATATATATATATCTGCTGGAAATCATGTGCATGTAAAAATTTTGGGTGGCAACTGTTTCGGAAAACTGTATAATAGGCACGAAGCAGGTGTTATTCACAACAGCATGAATATAATAGTGACTTAATATTTTATAAAAAAAAAAAAAAAAATTATAAAACAGTTCTAGAAGTAATTAAAATAAGTAACTTACGTTTCAGACATTTTTAAAAAAAAAGGCAGTTTATATATTTCTTCTGTCCCAACAATGTTGGTTGCAAACGCCACCGCATCGGGCTTTACGTGTCTCCAATAGTGATGGAAGAAACGAACCATTTCGAAGCTTCGCAAAAAGATGCACTGTTTCGAAGCGCTGGAAACACCACACGCTGGTGACGCCTGCTGGTCAAAACTGTGTAAATGCAACAAAAACTCCGACCAAAACGTGCATAAAAACAGCTTTTCCAAACCCAATGAAAACGCTTTCTTGAAAGTATAATATATTAAATGCAATCAAAATAATAAAATACCATTAAAAATGAAGTGTCTGTATAATAGGCCTATTATTAATTTACAAGGACTTCTTTTGTTTGTTTTATGGAGAGCTTGTCTAAACAGGCCAGTAAGAGACTATTAACTACTACTCATCCTTTTAATTACACAAATGTCTCATTAAAAATGTCTACAAATTTATGAAACTGATCCGAGATCGTATAGCCATAGACGCTGATGCAGTGGTTCACCGCTGCGGGGCGATCTCAGTAAACTCAAATGATTCACGGGTTCACAGAGATCGTCCCCCTAATGCCGAGTTCACATTGCACGATTTTCAAAGACGTGGCATCACTGTTGATTTCACACTGAACGACTATCTGAGGTAGCAGTCAGTCGCTGCTGTGTTCACACTGCACGATGGAACGACGACAGGAGGTTACACACTGCATGACTTTACAATAGGAAGAATCGCCGACAGCTCTGTCTGGTGCAGGGTTGCCAGGTTTTCGCTACAAAACCCGCCCAATTACTACTCAAAACGAGCCTGAAAATAGCCCAATTGCTTTCGAGGGGGTCCCCCAGTAAAAATCGGGTTGGGTGGATAAATTAAAATTTTTTTTGGTGGGGTTCTCCTGGTACAATTCACATTTCAGGGCCTAAATATCACTTATTGGGGTCGCTTCAACCTGCTGACATAAAAAACAACCGGCAACACTGGTCCGCAAACTATGTTTCATATAACTCCTCCCCGAACTTCCCACTGCCCTGTATCTTGGTCTCTCATTGGCTGTAGGTCATCGCCAATGTGTTTTTCAGTCACTGCGTGATTGTCACTAGCATGAACGAGCACCGATTTGCCTCCGATGTCGGGCATTTGTCGGCGATTTCGCAAAACATGTCGCCGAGTGAAAAATCGGGCTAAAATCATGCAGTGTGAACTCGGCATAAGGCGTACTATTGAAATTTCAAAACGTTTCGAAACAGTTATGACGTAACGAAGCCTCGTTTACTGAAATCACGTGACTTTGGCATTTTGATACGCGCTCCGAACCATTGTTTCGAAACAGTTGATTCGCAAAGGTTTTGAAGTTTTTTGTATTTTTTTGTATACAAATACAAATTTATATAAAAATATTAAAGCGTTTACAAACTTTCACCATTTTAATTGCTTTTTGTTTCATAGAAAATCATATAGTATCAATATAATGCTCCATTTCCTTCCTAAAAGAAAAAAACTTTTATTTTTTGCAGGAGAAATTACATTTGTGAATATGAAATTTTGCATGTAAAAAAAAAAAGATTTATCATGTAAACGTGAGTGTTTTTCTCTGCTATTCTGTAAGACAGTGGTTCCCAACCCTGGTCCTGGAGGCACCCCAACACTGCACGTTTTGCATGTCTCCTTAATCAAACACACCTGATTCAGGTCATCATCTCATTAGTAGATACTCCAAGACAGGGGTGCCCAAACTCGGTCCTGGAAGGCCGCTGTCCTGCAGAGTTTAGCTCCAACTTGCCTCAACACACCTGCCTTCAAGTTTCTAGTATGCCTAGTAAGAGCTTGATTAGCTGGTTCAGGTGTGTTTAATTGGGGTTGGAGCTAAACTCTTCAGGACACCGGCCCTCCAGGACCAAGTTTGGGCACCCCTGCTCCAAGACCTGAACCTGGAGCGTCAGAGAAAGGAGACATGCAAAATGTGCAGTGTTGGGGTGCCTCAAGGACCAGGGTTGGGAACCACTGCTCTAAGACACCAAATAATACATATTTCCAAAACAAAACAAAATGAAAAAACAAAACAAAATGTCAATATTTTGTAGGTTTCGAAGCTTCATGAAGCAGTGTTTCAAAAGCGGCCATCACTAGTCTCCAAGCAACGCGCGGACTGGATCACTGGAGCAGAGCGACAGCAATTTCCCGTCCCCATCCACACGGCCCCCATTTTTTATAGTTCTACTCCCTGCTTGCCAATGAGAGAAACCCACTCTGAGCAGTGTTGCCAAGTACGCGGTTTTCCCGCGGAATTGGGCTACTTTAACGCTGTTGTTTGGGCTGTTTTTCATGTCCGCGGGTTGAAGCGACTCCAATAACATATTTATCCCCTGGAATGCGAATTTTAGCAGGGGAACCCCGCCAAAAAACGTGTATTTTACCCCCTGGAACAGATTTTTGAGCTAGTTTTAGGTAGCAATTGGGCGGGTTTTCTTGTGAAAACCTGGCAACCCTGACTCTGAGCAATAATGAAGCTCGAACAAATGTATTTCTTACTACTTGATAATAAAACCCCTTTATATTTACATGGAGTTGGCCTGTTTTATGTTTGTCTTCTGATGTACTGATTTGGTTTATTTTTCAACAGAGGAACATATAGCGAGTCCAGAAGAGCGTTTAAACTGAGGGATTCACCTGATCCGATGCGAACCGATCCCAGCCCGCAGGGAGGGAACGGACTGACATTAACCCTGCAGCCGGAGCTGCTCGCCCGAATGCCTGGAGCTGGAAGTTCCAGCGGGCCGGAATCAGACGAGGATGTCCGGGTTCCTATAGGTAGCTCACCGGGGTCCACAAGTGGACGTGGCGCGACCTCGTGGAGGCTGAGAGCAGCGAGCCACAGCCACTCCCATTCCCATTCTCACGGACACACGCACAGCCATGAGCACGAGGCGGACCCGGAATCCGGAGAATCCAGCAGCTCATTATCGGAGCTGCACTACCTCCTGCGCTGGCTCAAGAAAAGTCTTCCTTTCATAGTTATTCTCTGTGCGAAACTAGTCATCCAGCATGCCCTGGGTACGTGTCAGAACAGCTGTTTATGCAGTGCTTATGATGTGTAAAGTTCATGTCCCCTGTCACACTTCTGTGTTGTGCTTTTTCTGTAGGTCTGGCTGTTGCAGTGGGTTTGTTTACCACTTTTATGTATGTCAACAAAAGCATTCAAACGCAAGTCTTTCTCCACGTAAGTCCACCATATTATTTGGTATTTAACATGGAAGCTAAAGATCAGTGCTTGTAAGTTCTTTAGTATGGTTATGGGTATATATTTTGGGGGTCATTAAGATTTTAATTTGAGTTAATACTCTATCCCACAAGGAATTTGCATTAAATTGATCAGAAGTGACAGTAAATATATTTATGTTTCAAAATATTTCTATTTTAAATAAATGCTGTAACTTGAGAAATGCTTCTTACAGTACTGTGCAAAAGTCTTCGGCCATTAGTATTTTAACCAACAACAAAAAATGGTTTTAAGCCAGTTAGATGGCAGGATCAGATCTCTGTGTTGAGCACTGGCTGTTGTCAGACTCCTTGTGCATACAAAAATGATTACAATTAATGGCAACATTTATGTATGTATGTATGTAAAATATATATATTGAACTAAATAATCTGAAGGATCTTTTGTTTTCTCCTGTGTAAAGGACCGAAGGACAAAGTTGCATTGTGCCTGGCTCTTGCTTTTCCTCACATCCTCCAGTCTCCTTGTGTTCTACACTTTTCACACTCAGTCACTTTATCTCTGGTAAGTGCTTTACATTGTATCACCAAACCTCACTTCACCACAAACTGTAATGTACTAGGTTTAGTGTAATAAATCAACTAAATGACAAATGCATACCATTGGCTCTCTCTTACTTTCTTTCTTGTTTCATCCCTCAGCCTCATTTTTGCCAACGCTACAATAGATTCACAGAACTTTTGGGAGGTTTTATGGTGCGTCGGTGTGACTAACTTCATTTTGAAGTTTTTCTTCATGGGGCTCAAGTGTCTAATTCTCCTCATCCCCTCCCCGCTCATGACATACCGGCGAAGGGTGAGCATGATTCGTAACATTAATTAATTAGCTGTTTTGAATCAAAGTGAATGTTAGATTCACCGTATCCATCCTGCTTTCCATAGGGTCAGTGGTACATGCTCATAGAAGAGGTGGGTCAGTTGTATCAGGTGATCGCTCCTGTCCCACTTTGGTTCCGCTATCTGGTCAGCTACAATGAGATGGACACCTCAGTGGGTCTGACTCTGGGAATCCTGCTAGCCTTGCTCTACCTCATAATGAAGGTGCGCACAATCATTACAATAAGCTACTGTTTGAAACTAATACATTACTAGGACACATCAATCTGATCTTATTATGTTTCTTTTTTAGCTTTTGGCCTTGTATGGACTGTCAGGATCATTGCAAAAAACATTACGGACTTTTTTTAGTTCTGAGGTACAAAAGATTGCTTTTTACCTGTCCTGTGCTGCTCTCCTTATTCTGAAATATTTGTTGGGTAATCTGTAAGACAAATAGTGAAATTATACAGAAATGTCTTGTTTTCCATATATGCTGTAAAATGTTGTTCCTACCTGTCTGTAAAGGTGAACGGCGCTTCAGCCAGTCCTGCTCAGGTTAGAGAGGCAGGTGACATTTGTCCGATCTGTCAGGCTGATTTTAAGCAGCCTCGGTTCCTCATGTGTCAGGTGAGAATGTGGTCCTTGAGTTTGACCACCGATGTCAACATTAACCTCCACATTCCCAGACTAAACCACAATGCTTCTTGAAGGCAAAATTTATTACAGAATTAAGCTCAGCCCACATGAAATAGACAAAATAGCAAATACAAATTAGTAATACACAATGTCACATAATGCATGTGCATAAATGTCAACTATTTACTGTTTGATTGTCTCTAGCATATCTTCTGTGAGGAGTGCATCGCCCAGTGGCTTAACCAGGAGAGGACCTGCCCCCTGTGCCGCACTGTCATCACAGACAAGGTGCATAAGTGGAAAGATGGTGCAACATCAGCTTATTTTCAAATCTACTGAAATCTCACCAAAAGGATGGAGACACATTGTTGTGACCAGCAGTGGATCCACAGAATATGGATTGTTTTATCCTCTCAAACATCTCCGTTGAGCAAACAGCACTTGTTATAAGACAAAAGGCTCTAGAAAAAGCTCCAGTTTGAGTTTTTATATATATATATATATATATATCTATAGATATATAGATATATATATATATATATAGATATCTTGTCAAAAGGACAAGTGCAGCTCTTGTATTCTTATTATTATTACTATTATTTTGCATGTGGAGCTCCCATATTTTTTAGTGTTTATAATTTATATTCCTCTTTGTGTTCTTGCAATATTACTAATTACCTTCTGGGTGTAAACAGAAGAATACAGTGGAGATAAATAGATTTCTTCATATTGTATTTGTGGAGAAAACACTAACAAATAACATAGCAGAAATTAATTTGTTGACTCCCTAAATGTATTTAAAAAAAAAATTTCATTTTTCATAGATACTGGTCTTATCGATCCATAGTCAGATACTGTGGTTTTCGAAACTGAACTTTTCTTAAACACTTTTATGAATCCAATCATAAGGAGTTTTGAAAAATTCTGGATTTTGCGTTCCAGTATTCTGGTTTCTTTAGTAATAATCTGAATGTGAGGTAATTGCACTTGAACTACTGATTTATCAAATGATGTAGCATTAGAATTTTGGAACCATGTGATTTTTGTGACTGAACAACATACAATGGCTTTTGAATTATTAAAATGTTACTGTACCTGCTAAATGCATTTGTAATTCAGGCCCTTCACAGATACATGGTATTTTTCTAATCATGTTGCACTTACATTGTAATAAACCAAAGCGTTGATGAAGAAATATCTATTTTAGTACAATCATACAGTATGCAGTTATAATTGTATTTTTATCCAGTATATTTGACCAAATACATTTTAAAAACCTTTAAAAAGTGTCACTGAAATTCTTTGTCCAGTAAATGCAGGGTTGCTTGGTAAATGCTCAAATTCAACTTTGTTGATTTTGTAGAATTCACTAGAGGTTAAATTAAAATGAATTTTAAAATAAACACAAGCAATCACAAAACACCAGATCTGAAACAATCTCATGTAATTTTGTACTTTATATCTATTCATTTTTTAAACCAAACGTGCCACTGTCTAATAACCACAGCATTTAAAATGCAAAATGAATCCTCATCTGCATCTCAATTCTTTTCACAGGCGTTTTCGTTTCACTTTAGAATCAGGACGTTTCAGAATTTGTTCCAATTCTAATGTAATGGAGTACTACAGATTTTCAATTACAATTACACACCACATTATAGTTTTATAAGGAACATATAATAAAGATAAAAAAAAACACACACACAAAAAACCAGACCATTAACACTTAGCACCAAGTTATGTCTTAATATTCCAACATGACTGCAAGAATCAGTGGAAGATGGTTTGAGAGGTTTTAAATCCAGTCTAGTGATTATATGGGCTCATGGTCAATATCCAACTCATCAGACAGACACAAGTGATACATAAAGCCATTTATGCCACATTACAGACCCCTCTCTCTCAGACAGCATTGCATAGAATAAATGGTCAATATTTGTGTATGCGAAGGCAAAATTCACATTTGAAGCCATTACGGGCTGTTAACCGCCACGGCACAGCAGGCTGTTGTTTATCAGTAGGCACTGTATCCGACAGCTTAAGCTATTCACAATCATGCTTCCTGTGCATAGCAGTACAGCCAATTATTAGCTTGATGGAAGCTACTGCAAAGTCCAGACAGTTCAATCAGAGCAATGGCCTCCTAATGTCCAACCACAATTACAATCTACATTACGGAAATTAGAGTTTGAGGATTGAGGTTAACATCACATTCTATCAGTCAGTTACAATGTCACAACAGAACAATGTTCTCAAGCAGAAAACAAACCTATTTTACATTCCCATGGGAAAAAAGTGTGCCATTTAGAAATGGTTTAAATGTGGTCACACAGACGCAATCGCAGCCTCACACGCAGACCTTCACTGATAACAATAACACAGTACTACGAGCACAGGAATGCCTGTGAAACACAATACATGAAACCACCTGTGATGACTGTCTAAATAATCCCTGCTTACAGACAGCAAATCTTAACAAGATGCAGATTCAGTGTTCACCAGTTGGGAGTCACATCATCATACTTATTGTATCTATAAGAACTATTATACAAGGAAAGAGCACCAATATTCATGAAGAATCATGTCTATGTACAACAATGAAAAACAACACATTTTTGTTTATTTTTATTTCATTTTATACTTTATTACTCTTCCATCATCTTCTTTTCCCTTAACCACATCCAAGCTTATTTAATCAAAATTCAATAGAACGATAAATAATCCAGTGGGTTTCCCCTCATCTGGTGCACAGTGCACATCCTGAAAACATACTTAAAATCCCAACATTTTTAATGTCCTTGAGATTAATAAAAATTACTTTGACCCCAACACCATTATAGAAAGAAGTACTAAATAATAAAAATGAAAGGGGTTGGCATGTCTCTGTGTTCATGTAACTAATCAGGCTAAATCCAGAACAGCATTCTTGACTATAAAGAATAAATAATTTGCATAGTTTAGAAAACTATATGGCACCTGAAAAATAAATAGGTTAAAAAAAATCAAAACACATTCAGGGAGAAAAAAATCAATAAAACAATGAATCAATGATAGGGGAAGTGTTAAGGAAACTATTTCAAAACTCGTCTGGCTGTCTAGGGTGAAAAGTAAAATTAAATAAACATTCTGTTTAAAATCAATAGTTTTCACAGATGGTTGACAGCATATCAGTATTAATGGCATTTGTGGATGTGGCTTACAAATAAGTAACTGTATTCTGGATTAAGAGGATTTAAACTGTTTTATTTAGTAATCTAATATTTGTAATATTCTTTGGTCAGACAGTTTGGTTGGAAAACGAAAAACAGTGATTTGATGCCCAGAACGCAGGTAGATTCATACCTGACTGTATGAATATTAAATGTAATCAAGAACAAACCAAAACAAGAGAATCATTTCATGAAGTCCTCTAATACTGTCTTATGAATTTACAGCAAATGAACTAACACGAAAGAAAAAAAATCAGCTTATATTTTTTACTTCATAGTTTATCATTAGTAAGTTAGGCTAAAATGACTGTAGATCTCCAAGTGCCCTACATCTGTTCTTCTAGGGGTCCTAACAACTATTGATGAATTAGGAATCAAATATATCATAAATCAGACAGATTCCTCAAGAATGTAGACCTGAATCTTCTCTCGCCATTTTAAAAGGCAATCCACCCAACAATTAAAATTCTGTCATCATTTACCCTCATGTTGTTCCAAACCAGGACGACTTTCTGTTCTTCTGTGAAACACAAAATAAATTTTGAAGCATAATTCAACTGTTTTTGTCCACATAATGAAAGTCAAATCGGTCTAAAACAACAAAACACTGAGAAAATCATCTTTCGTGTTCCACAGAAAAAAGAAAGCAAGTTATACAGGTTTGGACTGACATGAGGGTGAGTACATAACATAATTTATTTAATTTTTTTATCCATTTAAATACTATTAGAGCTATCCCAACATCATACATCGCCTAAAGTGCAAGGTGGTCTCTCTTTTTCATAGCAAGCAGCAGACCACCTCACCATGGTGCAAGTAGAGAGAGGACAAGCTCTGCATGCTTGCAAGTACACTAATGCTGCAAGTGTTTAAGTGACAGAAACTGGGTGCAGAAAGGCCTTTTGGGTCATTTGATAAATTTCTAAAGTACAAAACTAAAGACGTTCATCAATGATTCATCCTCCGATTCTTGGGTCTCTTGCCGCCCGCTGGGTGAGCTGGTTTCATGAAGGGCCCCGTGTTGGATCCCAGTGTTTTTTTGATGGGGAGAGGGGCTGACACCTCCATGTTGCTGCTAATGTCCATCTGCTCCACATTAAACACCTCCATGGGCGTATCAGTGGGCGGCAGGAGAGAGGAGGTGGTTGTGGGCACTTCTGGGAAGGGTGGACCCTGAGACCAACCGTCTTCCCCTTCAGCCTTCATAGGGCTGGAAAACGCAAGTATGGCATCATGGGTTATGGATCTCGATTCATGTTGTTACAAATGCAAAACCAGGATAAACATGACATGTTACAGCATGTACACAACCTTGGACTTGAAGCCCAACTCAATTAAATCAATGTCATTCCCTACAAAATCACAATACAAAATATATATCTATATATATATATAGAGGAAGTATTGAGGCATTTGGGTATTTTTCGCCTACTGTTTGAATACTATTAATTCAGACATACTACTCTTTTCACATACTGCTTTTCACCTGTTATATAGTATGGGAGCAGGCATATTCAGACACAGCATGTGAGCTTATTTTTAAAGATTCTTTCTTAAAATTAATGTTTCTTTGAACGCAGACCATGATTAATATGGGTTAAAAAAAAATTCTGTATTTTTTTACCCAGCCCTACAAGATCATAAAACATGACAGAACTACTTTATACACACTGCAAACTCTGTGCGAATCTCAGTGTAATGAGAAAAACATTACCTCACTGGTGTTCTTGGGCTTCCCAGAAGCTTGCGAGGTGAACGGGATTTTGGCTCAAAAGTGAACTTCTCGTTGATGTTTTCGAGCACAGATGGAGCTATGTACGTAAAGCCCTGAGGAGAGACGACATCCGAGAAGAGATTAAATGAAGGAAAAAAAAAAGTTTGGGTAGACAGAATAAAAGGAAAAAAATTGAAAAAATTGATGTGTAGAGGATGTGCAATTATGATAAAAAAAATTTAAAAAAAAAGGAACGTCACGCTAAGAGCTGGAAAAAACAGTTAAACAGTAATAATATGGACCAGATGAGAGATATTATCCCTTTCTCGTAAGTTTGTCTACAAAAAGAACTAATTTACCACACACACACACACAATGCTAACACACGCTCACAATGTAGGTCGGGAGTCAGAAACGAATCTCATACACATTCTTGAGTGCTCTACACAGCATGCTGATGATAATTAAGATCAAATGGTGTATAAACAAGTTTTGAGGCTTCAGTCGGGTTCTTGTTATGTTTGGGCTATGGTGTCACGTACAACAAGGCCTTGGAGGTGCATAATATTACTCTATTTGTCTGAAGAACATCTCTGTTTATAATAAAAATCTGTTTAATATTTTATTTTTTTATCTACACAACCATTCAAAAGTTTTTTTATTCAAAATAAATTAATACTTTTATTCAGCAAGGAAGTATTAAATTGATCAAGTGACAGTAAAGACTTGTACATTGTTACAAAAGATTTCTATTGCAAATAAATGCTGTTCGTTTGAAAATTCAGCTTTGCCATCACAGGAGTAAATCACAGTTGAAAATATATTGAAATATAAAATGGTTTTAAATAGTAATACAATTTCACAATATTACTATTTTACAGCATTTTTGATTAAATAAATGCAGCCTTAGTGAGCATAAAAGACTTCTTTCAAAAACAAAAATCTTACAACCTCTGAATGATAGTGTATACAAAATAGTACCCTATAATATCAGTAGCCCATAATACTGGTAATATCAGACTTGTAATATTCTATTTATCTGTTATTGGCTAATAAACATTAAAAAAAAGTTTATTATTGATGCACTTTGGATAAATGTACTGCAGTTGGAGTCCTCACAGCGGTATAGTGTTCGTGCAAAGACCATATATTTAAAGAGTATAGAGATAAATTTAGTCTAAAAAGTGACCAGGACAACAAACTGACCAGGAAGACTTGGTTGGCGCTTTCGCTGAGTGTCGAGTCGTCGGGACTGTCCACTGGAGTCTGACTAGTGAACTTGGAGTCAAACTGGCTAACATCATCTGCTGATTGCTGCAGAAATAGAGATTTGGGAGGAGTTATTATCAGATACCACATAATGAGCTCTATAATAATAACTCTAAACATGCAATAAGAGAGAGGCAAACAGTTGACTGAGCAGAGAAAGAAAACACTATCTCGTACCAAAAAAGGCTTAAAGGGAGGTTCAACTTTAAAAGCCAGTAGATCATCCCAGTTCATGTGTCTGAAGAAGGAGTGGCCCTTAAAAATAAAATCTGCTTTTAAAATATATAAAACTCCACGATATACTGTATGTATATGCAATCTCCTGCTTTTATGATAATGGGTTCACCATATCATAAGGCCAGATACCTGGACATCTAATGCATCTCTAGGACCTGCTCCCATCCTCGTTGATGCATTTCTTCTCAGCAGCTGGGTGCGAAACATACATACACAACCCCGTAAGTTAAGCAACAGGAGAATTCCACAGTGGAATGAAACCTGTTTGACCTTAAGACCTCTACCTTTTTCAGAAGGTCCCGTGCTTCTTGGGTGAGGTAAGGTGGAAGGTTCAGTTTGCCCTTCAGGATTTTGTCTATGGTTTTTTTTCGATTCTCTGCAGTGAATGGCGCCTGAAAGTTAAGAGGTTAAAGAGCAGTCTGGGTAAGCTTAGATTGTGCACAAATTGATTTGATATCGTCACAATAATGCTTTCTTTGTTTTTAAATCTGTCTGAATGGGAGGAAATTATGTTCAATATCTAGTATCCAGTCCTCCTTGAAAAGTGGAAGCTTGTTTGGTAGGAACAACTCCGTATTAATGCCAATAGTTGTGGAATTAAATGTCAAACAAGCGCATACAAATACACTGTTCAGGTGTCTGCATCATTTTGGTCAAGTAGTGTAGGTTTCAGTTTTTATCTCGATTCATTTACATTAATAAACTGTTCGAATAAGGTTCCATCATCGTTATTTTTGGGTTCACACAATCAAAACAGTGTCCAAAGAGTTCACAAACTAGGTCAACAGAATCTCTATCAATAGAACACCTCATCAGAGATTATCAATAGTGAATTCTCACACGTGTTTAGTCTTGTCCAGTTCTAGCGATTAGGTTAGGGTAAGTAGAATAAGTTGCCGTACTTGCAAAGTTACTTATAGTCAATAGAACATCTGTTGAGCGACCATCAAAATAAAGTGTTAGCAGATATTAAGCAGACAGTCTACTAATACGCCAATGACTGCTAGTTGACATGTAGTTGCAAAGTTGTTTATAGGTAGTAGAATGCCTAAAGTGGACTATCAAAATAAAGTGTTACTCTGTCCTCTGTGTAATTATGTTTTTTTTTCGCAATATAACAAAAAATTTTATTGTATTGATCAAAAAAATGCAGCCTTTATAAGCATGAAAGTCTTCTTTCATAAACATTTACCTCAAACTGTTTTGAACAGTAGTGTATTTATTAGTGGTCGACTAATATTGTTTTTTGACAGCCGATGCCGATATCTTAGAGAGCAGAGTGGCTGAATAAATTTGTATTTATTTTAATTAATATTTAAGAAATTGGAAATAATTTGAAAATGAATAAAAAAATAAATGTGTCAAATAAACACACTTAATGCTTTAGATGACAACTTCTTGATTCTGTAATCTTATTACAGTATTTTTCACAAATAAATAAATATATTTTTTTAAATACGTAAGAAAGAAGTTTGTGTGCATTGGGAATCATATTTAAAAAAAAAAAAAAAAAAAAAAAAAAAAAAAAAAAAAAAAAAAAAAACCATTTTTAAAAAAAAAAC